AGGTGTTTGCAGTTAATTCAGAAGCTATACACCCCGTGTAAGAGGCAAAGCCAGAAAGGCTGGTGCTCAGAGGACTATGGTCCACTCTCTGGGCCTATGTCTCACTCTCGATAAGCAACCTCCTCGTGTACAAATAGAACAGCCAGAATAACTAAAGAAATGATTCCTCAGAACTGGTTAAAAAATCAAATCCAAAAAGCATGATCCTGGGCTTGGAGTGGGATGATTGCTACAGACATTTTTAAAATGACGTACCCCAAGGCAAGGGTTCAGTTTGACTGCTCTAAAGTGATGTGACAGGTTGAGAAAACGGAGCATGTTCTGAAAATCCTGTTCACTTTGGTGGTAAGCCAGCCAGCCAGGGTGGAAAGCAGAGGCCCTCGCTTTAGTAATGTAGATTTCAGTAGGAGGAAACAACAAGAAAAGCAGGTTTCCACCTTCAACCTACTAGTGAATGGGGAGTACTTACTGAGCACCTGTTAGAGGCATAGAATGAAAGAGGCCCAAGGAGTGGATGATTTAGGGGCCCGGGGATTAGAAAGAAAGAAGCTATGGCTCCTGGACCTGAAGTGTTTACAATTTTTTGAGGGTTTTTTTGTTCCCATATTCCTTACACTGTGACTGTTATTCAAAGTCATAGGCCACATAAACTATTAAGGAACCTCCAGGTTCTCTAGTATTACGGAGAGCAACGGTGACACTAAGAAATTGTGACACTAAAATGCTCCCCATTCACTACCCCAGTTACCTGCCGTTGCCTGAGGCATTTGCAAGCAAGGACAGGAAAATGCCAGTACCAGCCAGTTCCAGATAATGAAGTCATTTGTTCCAAACATTTTCGCTGCGTTATTAAATTAGACCAGTTGGGACTAAAAAGTAATAAGGTTAAGGTTCTTATGAGGCTCATGAATTAATTAACTCTGAAGATAATCCCCAAGGAAGAGTTTAAAAGAAATTTTTGAGCAGTAACGACTTTATTGGGATTTATTTAAAACTCAGAGTCCTCACTTTTAAAGATGATGTTATTTAAATATATGAGTGCTGGCATAATGATTAAACTTATGTTTTGTTACTTTGTGAGCACATCAGGTACTAATAATTGAAATAAAATCTGTGAGATTGGTGACAGCAGTAATAATATACCGCACTGCCCTAACCGGTTTCGCTCAGTGGATAGAGCATCGGCCTGTGGACTGAAGGGTCCCAGGTTCGATTCCCGTCAAGGGCATGTACCTTGGTTTCGGACACATCCCCAGTAGGGGGTGTGCAGGAGGCAGCTGATTGGTGTTCCTCTCTCATCAATGTTTCTAACTCTCTATTCCTCTCCCTTCCTCTCTGTAAAAAAAAACACACAATAAAATATATTTTTTAAAAAATAATAATAATATACTGCACATGGAAGTCTGGCTCTATGAAACGTCATTGCTGTAACTGTGGTTGTCCCTTGACTCAGAACTGATTCCCCAAATAAGTGGGTTACAGAGCCTTCATCTTGAGCACCTTTCCACGCATTCAAATTCATGAGTGCAAGTAGCCACACAGCTATGAACTCCAAAGTGATTTTAAATGGTTACAAATCTTCCATAGAATAAGCTGGACTTGCCACCTACCTGCTCTCTGGGGACTTTGCTGGGAGAAAGTGGAGTTGTCAAATAGGGGAAAGGGATCATGAGAACAGGGTTTGCCTGATGTCTCCAAGTCTAGTAAAAGGGTCCTGCTTAGGTATTAAAAACCCCTAGAATGACTCTGGGAAACTCTCACTCACACATGTTGACAAGGCTTGGGTTTCTATGATTGAATGGAATGCCAAAGCAGCCACACTGCTCACGTGTTCCCCTGAGGTGTGCCTAGTTCACATCTGAGAGGAAAAGTCTTTCTATGTTATTATAGTTTGGTCCCAGGTAACCTTCAGTCTCTACTCAACCGCATCTCTAATCTTTCCATCGCCTTCCCAGCATCTTGAAAATCCCAAAGGTGTTAGGGAACCTCCACATTCTCAAGGCTGGACCAGATTTTGAGTGGGTAGCCTGAGAATGAAACAGAAGCTTTGGTGCGTGGTAGCCTTTTATCAGTAGGGGATTAAGACGAGCAAGCCAGGGGCCCAAGATAGTAGACACACATGGACCAAGGGATGGACTTCCATCTCAGCTGGACCATAGTGTATCCCAGAGCAGTGAGAAATGAGAGAGACATACCACTTAAAGTGACACGTTGAATTGTTCGGTCTCTCCTTCCTTTACCCCTCCATTTCCACTTAGTCCCCCCAGCACATCTCTCCAATAAATGTGTTTACTCAAAAATATTTTCTAGACTGATAATATCAATCAAGAAGATGGGTGGTAGTTTTTTTATTAAAACAGAAAAGTTGTATTAGCTGATTTCATTTGGTGAGACTTCTGCTGTGTTCTCAACTTCAGCGTTATGTCCCGGTACAAGTATTTTTGAAGCATGTTTTTAAACCTGATGGTATATTTGCCTCCCTTTTGAATTAAACTCCTGGTTTAAAAAAATAGTCAAAAAAGTACCAAAAAAAGGCATTGCTTCAAATTCTATACATGGGCTATATATTAAACTATTTGGGGCCATCAATCAATTGTGTTTATTTTTGTTGATACTTTATTTCAGATGAGACTTTTTTGTATAGCTGTGCTGATATGCAGCTTTCAGATTACAAATCATAAACCAAAATTTGTAGGGTCAGAGGAAAATTCAAAATTAGAACCTGGTAAATCCCAGCTGCAATAATTAAGTAAAATACTGCACACGCCCTGCATTTTACCTCAAACAGATGAAAGTGCTAGATTTTGTATCCGAGGTAGTCATGGCAACTTTCAAACTTCAAATCCTGAACTTGAGTTTTTGACCTTGAGAAATAAAACCTGGTCTTTAAAAGTAGGTCTTTGACATGATCTTTAAAAGTGATGGTACTTCTACAGAGTGAATTTTCAAAATTACAGTCTACCTGTGGTGGATATGGGTAGGATGTCAAATGGGGTCTCTGGTTTGTTAAGTACCTACTTTTAAAGACCAGGTCTTTATTTCTTCTTTTTCTCACCCTATGATTTCACTGACCTAAATGGGTTTGAGGACTATTTACACCACAGAGAAGCCAAAATGGCTGATGTTAATTCATAATAAGGCATGTTAGTCCACAAAACACTAACAACGTTATTATTTGTTGCAGAATTGTAAGGAAGTTTTGTAATTATTGAAAGAAACAAGAAAAAAAAAGATTGTTTTCATTTCCAGTGTTGAAGGCATTCATCATTAGACTTACCACCTGAAAATACTTTATCATCATAACAGTGTTTACATCATGTTCACCATGACCTAATCTAAGCCCTTTATTATCACAAGTCCGTGTGGTCAGTCCCGTTATCCTTAGTTAACAGATGAGGAGACTGAGGCACAGGAGGGTAAGTGACTAGCAGAAGCACACACCCGGCTGAAAAGTGTCACATATAGAAATTTTTTGATATTTATTTTATATATTTAAATGCCATTTAACAAAGAAAAATCAACCAAAGAAATGAGTTCGCGTGTCACCTCTGACACGCGTGTCATAGGTTCGCCATCACTGCTGTAGAATAATGGGAAGCCGTGTCATAAAGAGGGTGAGGGTATGGGCTTTGAAAAAAGACTTTCTACACATGGTGCTTCCCATCTCCGGGCCAGAGTTTTCCCATCGTTATCATGGGATACCCATGCCCATGTCATGCTACTTGTTAAGAAGATTGAATGAGATAAAACACTAAAAGCTTTGAGAACAGAGCCTGACAGATGAAAGTACCCAAGAAATGTTAGACATTATTATCATGATAAGTACATTAACTTTAGTTTGTGAATTATGGTAGCCATCATTCACAAGTTTCCTGGGTGAGAATTGATAAACACATATTAAACCAGCACTTTTTATCTCACAAGAATTAAGATTACTCTTTTTCTGTTGTTGTTAATCCTCGCCTGAGGAAATTTATTCCATTGATTTTTAGAGAGGGTAGAAGGGAGGGGGAGAGACAGAGAGAGAAAGAAGTGTCAATGTGAAAGAGACATCGATTGGTTGCCTTCTGTATGCACCCCAACCAGGCTGGGGATTGAGCCTACAACTGAGGTACATGCCCTTGACCACAATCGAACCTGGGACCCTTCAGTCCATGGGCCAACACTCTAACCACTGAGCAAAACTGGCCAGGGCAAGATTACTCTTATCACTCTTATTTCATGGAATTGGAGAAACTCATACTACAAGAAAAGATGTTATGTTCCTAAAATCCAATGAGCAAGGATTCAAACTCAGGGCACTCTGGCTGCAAAGCTTCAGCTCCTTCTACCACCCCGTCTTGTTCTAGACCCAGGTTTGGTCAGCCAGTGCCTGTTGATTAATAAAAAAAAAAAAATCAGTGCAAAGCCAAGGGGGAGAAGCAAGCTTGTGAAATTTCGTTGTGGGCATGGTAACAAATGTGATGCAGCTCTGTTGACTCAGTGGACAACAATCGTGCTGCTCTGTGTGAAGACCTGTTCGAGTCCATTGACAATTACGGCATGCTGAGAGACCACCCAGGAAGTCTCAGTTAGTACAGGAAGTGGCAGCTAGGGCTCCTAATTGAGAGCTGTTGCTTCTTGAATCAGTGCTGAGCCATTGCTCCAGGGGGATATTAATTCACATCCATGGACGATGTGAAACTCAACAGCTGACCTGACCACTTGTCACTGCTGACGATCCTATAAAACTTCTCTTAAGATGGGAACTCTGTGTTCTAGCAAACCACATGAATATTTCCTGTGTGTTGACCTACAGCTTCCAGAGCTCTAAATCACCAGCACAGAAAGGTTCCTTTACTCCCCTCGGTTATAAATATTGTGGTTCTATTAAGTGTTCAAAAGGAACGCCTGCATATTTCCTTTTGGACAGATACGCTAGCCTGCCCCCTCTTTTTTCCTATTTCCTCTATACTTTTACTTTTTCTGTCATCTTTTCACCAATGGTACCTGAATTTTAGAACCAGATGGCAGTTGGAAATGCCGTGCTCGTGAATTTCAGAGATCTGGGTCAAATCTTACCTCTACCTCTTACCGGCTGAATGAACTTGGGTAAGACATTTAGCCTCTTAGAGTCTTTTATTCCCCACCTACAAAGTGGGGATAATAGTGTCTTCTGTGGTTGCCTGGAGCATTAAATGTATGAGTTTCTGGAACGTGGTCACATGCAGTGTTAGCGGAATCTGACCCATTGCCCTGCCCCCCACGTGAGCAAGGCCATGTCCCAAAAGACCCAAGACACGTTCTTTTCCAGATGAAGATTTACCATCTCTCCTTAAATGTCTGCAATTTGTGCGTTTAATTTCCTTTATGAACCAGAAGTTGTCTTGCATCTGACTGAAGTTCACCACATGAACATAACACTGCCTTTCACATGTGAGCCCTTTGAGGCCAGGGCCAGCAGGAAAACCTCTGAGCTGTTCTTTTCTCCTTTTCTGGTTACAAAAAACAGCATGTTGTTCCTGAAAGTGGAGGGCCAATAGTATACAAATCAACTAGGAGAATCAAAAATAGCCATTCCTAAGCCCCTCCCAGAGAACCTGCTGTGTTAGGTCTGGGGTGGAGCCCAGGAACCTGGGTGTCTGTCCAGCTCCCAGGTGTCCTGGTGTGGGCAGAGCAGACCCCTAGGACTACAGGCTGAGAACACTGACCTGTAGAAAGGGATGTGCCTTCTGTAGCAGAGTTCATGCAGACCACTGATCATGGCCTCGGCCAAGCTCTGCAAAGAGAGGGGAGCCAACATAGAAGAAAACCGGCAGGGCCATGGAAACCCCTTACCCGGGAGGGAAACTCCCCTTGGCCTGCTCCCAAATGCCAGACTGTGTTCTTCATACCTGCGTCAACGTTTCATTTTTAAGCCATTCCTCATTCTCCTTTAACAATTCAAAATAGTGAACATAGTTTTGGTAATTCTCATGCTTACGAGTGGTATCTGATGGGCAGATGCCTCCTCTCTATTATTTCTTTCCCCTTTGTTTGTGCTTCCAACAGAGCCATCCTTTAAGGATGAAGGCACTTGGAGAGTGGGTTTTAACAGGATAAGGAGCCCCGGTCTGAGCCTGCCTCAGTGGCCCTAAATGTACTACGCGTGATAAGTTAATCCTGTGGAGGGGTGAAACCAGAGTAG